TTCCTTACCATCTCTTCTTGGGTTTTCCGTATCGCTCGGAAGCGATCCTTGGGGTCTATTACTGAGAACATTAGCCAACTGCCCCACTTGATTTTCCAAGGTCCTCAACGATGCAGCTTGACTCTGGAGGAGAGCTGCTTGACCCTGAATGAGCGAGTCATTCCTTGCCATGTACTCTTTAAGTAATGCCTCCATAGGGGTTGATGACGCTTGATGTGGCTGCCTCTGATTTAATTGCTCTTGAGGTGGCTGTCTTTGATGTTGATGTTGATGAAATCCTGGTGGATATGCTGGTTTGCTAGGCCCTGGCATCGAACCAGCTTCTTGATTCGACCAAGAAAAATTCGGATGCTGCTTCCACCCTTGGTTATATGAGTTGGAATAAGGGTTGTTATTCCGGTTAAAGTTGTTCACATAGCAAACCGACTCGGGGTTGGATGGGCAATTTTCAAATGAGTGTTCAGCTCCACAGTAGACACAAGTTAATGCAACTGGGGTTGCTGCATTAGCTGGAGCAGCCACATTTAGAGACTTCAAAATATTGGAAAGAGAAGAAACTTGAGCAGTCAACGCAGTCACCGCATCTACTTCATGAATTCCTGCCACTCGTCTCCCTGCAGAAACTCTTTTGGTGGGCCACTGGTAATTGTTGTTAGACATTCTTTCCAGAATTTCATAAGCCTCGTTGTACGACTTCACAAGTAAGGCTCCATTCGCTGATGCGTCCACCATGGCTCTAGTCGAAGCATTGAGCCCATTGTAGAAGGTTTCCATTTGAATCCAATAGGGGAGTCCGTGGTATGGACACTTCCTTAATAATTCCTTAAAGCGTTCCCATGATTCACATAGAGCTTCCCCCTCCATCTGCTGAAATGATGTGATATCATTCCTGAGTTTTGCATTTTTGTTCGGGGGAAAATATTTCACCAGAAATTTCTCAGCCAAATCATTCCAATTGGCTACCGAATCTGGTGGCAGAGAGTTCAGCCATGCTCTAGCTCGATCCCTCAGAGAATAAGGGAATAACTTGAGACGAAGAGCCTCTTCTGTTACCCCTGGGGCCTTAAATGTTTCACATACTTCAATAAAAAGCCGAAGGTGCATGTGTGGATCATCGGTTATCATCCCACTGAACTGCCCCACAGTTTGGAGCATTTGGAACATGACTGGCTTCAACTCGAACTTAGTTGCCTGGATTTCTGGCCTCACAATGCCTGGATGCAACCCGTCGAGCATGGGGATGGCATAATCCCTTTAACGTGTCCAACCTTATAACAAAAGTGACAATGCAATACAAAACGAAAATGAAGTTGTACATGAACATTTGCCCAAAAGTCAAGAGACGAACTGCCACTAAATCTTGAGAATTTATGAGAGACTTGGATTCAAAAATCTTTTATTTTTTTAGAATCTTGGGTTATGAAATGTCATATCAAGGATTTAAATACTTTTTACCTTTTGTAAAATAAACACGGGTTTAAACTTGAATTTAAGTTCAAACTCTTTGAACCTTCAAACTAAACGTCACTGTTTGCCAAAAACTCTATGCATAAAATGACTCCACGCAAGCGCACGCAATCGAACAAGTAATATAGTAATGAGTAAAGTATCGTCTCCACAGGGACTGAGTTAATGAGGAATTCTATTACAAAAACTAGTTTTATCAATATGATTGAGAATAGTTTGAATGCCAAATTGATATTAATTAAGTGAAAAGAATGTATAAGACCAAAGACTGTAATTTAAATGCAGACAAGAGGTAAAAGTCAACAAGATCTGAGCTTAGAGCTGTGATTTAATGATGGATGAAGGCTAGGATTACTGATTTCCCCTCGGTTGCAACTCTGACCACGATTTGCTATACGATTGCTGTAGCAAAGTTCATCTAGTCAACCTAAAATTCTACATAATCATCTTCCGACAGATTTATGCTTGTAATTCCTTAAACCAAACCAACATATTCCTATGTGTTTTAGTTTACAGACCTGACGTTAACATCAATTTTAATGGGTTGTGCAAGATAATAGTATATTCCTATACTATCTCTTACATTATCCAAGCTAGATCTAACTTAACCAACCTTTCCAGAATTAGCTTAAGTTTGTGTTTTCTTACTAAATGATGGCCTGTCACTTAATAGAAAGTAAACAATAAATATGCTTGAATAAACCAGATGAAAATTACATTATCAATCAAAATAGCAAATAGATCTTCATTGCAACTTTGGTTCCATCAATAATCCTAGCTAAGGAATTTAGCTCATGTTTAGTTCAACAAAATCAGAATTAATAACAAATAACAGATCCATAAGGTCTCGGAAAGTAAATACAGAGAGAAGGAGAAAACAGCTAAGCTAAAATCTGAGGTCAAAAACCCCTGTGTATCCGTGCTGTACTCTTCTTTTCTCCAGCTCCAGCGTCCAAAATCTCTTGTACTCTCTTCTGTCTCCGTTTGCAGCTCGTACAGGAATTCTGTGTGCCTCCACTAATTTCTCTCCTCTTTTCTGGCTCTTTGTACTATACTCTTCTTTTCCTTTATAAACTAGGGCATGTTGAGGTGCCCTAGTGACAAGTGTATGCATGAGAGTCATGATTGATGGTCCCCCCTCCTGGTGCTCTTACAGATGTCCCGTCAGTGCTTGGACCACTACCAGCGCTAAAAGACAAACTGCGCCAGCTTACTAATTTTTGGCTGCTCCTGCTTTTGCTGCGACTTTGCTGCAGTAATGCTATGGCATTAGGGGCATTTCAGTATTTGTGTTTTCCACCGTGTTTTTCTCACCAAAAGCCTACGTCAGCACCTCTTGTGGACATCATGCACTAAGTTCTCAGGGTCAATGCAATGAGTTGAATTGAGGAATAACTTCAAAATATAGCAAGATTTTCCATAAATAATAACTTTCTGCCACACGAAAAAAGATTAATAAATGCTATTTAAAATACTAACACAAAGGCATTTTACCCGGAGAATATAAATAAATATTAAGCCTAAAAGTATGCTAAATAACTCTATTTTTGTGAGTTATCACGAAGCTCTCCGTGGTAGTTGACGTTGGTCTGGAACTCTTAGCCTGCTGTTGCAGCTTTGCTTCAGGAAACATGCCGGCCCAGCAGGCTTCTCCGCCTATTGTCTCGCAGGCTTCTGCCGGAAACACACTGAGGAATAAAAAACAAACACACACAAAAGTTTTTATCAAATCTATATTTAGTTAATACAATCTTATTAAGCTTAGTATCTGTTTGTTGGTAAGGCATTTGGAGTGATCTATTTATTTTGCAAAATCAGTCTAACCAAGTTATAATTCCGAAAGTGAGATTTTAGGATTTGAACTTACGAGAACACGGAGTTGTAATCAACTGTGGAAGTATCATAGGTCACGGCGGTTGCTTTGACAACGGAACGTCGAGCAGCAGATGAATCAAGCAAATTGGGACTAAAAATGGCAGGTTGAGAAATGTTCTTGGAAGGTGTCAAAGGGAGAAGAGTAGGAGAAATGCTCAAAGCTGCCTGCATTTTGGTGGTAATAGGGAGGTGAAACTTGGTGTTATGCAATTTGGAGTGGAATTATCATCAGAAGCTAGTACTAATTTATAGGATAAACTGGGTGGCAGAAGAGCAAGATATTTCTGGTTGCAGATAAGGATCACTTTTTTCTACTTGAGACCACTGTTCTAGCGATGGAAAAGCTTTGGCAGGTTCCAATAATCTTGGAGATATTTGTGAACCTTTTTCCTCGTCATTATCGGAAAATATCTTAAATACCTCGTCATGTATCCTGCATGTGACTGACTTTATTAAGATAAGGAATGCCACAGCGTAACAAGATTAATAGTAAGACTTTGAGTCCTCGACCCCATTGAAAGTTGAATCAGCTAGACATTTAATATAATCTTGCTAGTCAAGTTAAAATATAGGAAATAAACTTCATATTCTATGAATAGCAAAAATTAAAATCATTATAGTAAGGGAAAAAGAGGCATATACCTCTCAGTGCATAAATCTAAATTTTTTACTCCCTACTCTTGATTAATAACATTTTTAGTCAAATAACTATCTTAGTTAAAAGATAAAATTTTAAACCCATATACTCTTAAGAATAAATTCAGTAATTTTCTCTTATAGTAATTAAAAAAAGTAATTTTCTCTTATAGTAATTAAAAAAGTCATCCGTGGGTTCACGAGTAATCAGTTGCTTTAGTTGGATTCAGTAGCTTACATATTTTGTACTAAAAGATCTAACAAGAAACATATTTTTTAGAAAAAATTGACATCAATCAAAAGTAAAAATGGCAACGGCTATATTCGCAACACACATTAGAATCCTTTCTTTCCCTGGAATTCCTATTAAAACTGAAATATTGATCGCGAATAGCATGATAACCTTCCCCACAGGCATACGACATGGATTGCTGATAACAACAAAGCTGCAATTCAAGTTAGTTGACTATAGAGCAGTGGCATGTTCAGAAAACAGCAGCACAAGCCCAATTCACATCAAGTCAACTGTGTCCACGAGAAAATGGGACTACCCAGTTGCCCATTTTCTCTACAACAAGAGCATTACAATGCTCATTACGAACAAACACGCCGGAATTCGAATTAGACCTCGGATTATGAGGAGTACCTCACGCACACTAGATCATCCAACTTGGACAATTTAGAAAACAAGATTTCTTACTTTAACAACAGATTAACACTTGCAAACACAAAAGCATCCAAAAACGGGAGATCGCGTATTAGGCATCTTCATTAACTCCATTATTCTGCATCCTTTCTTCTTTCCGAGTGTGAAAGTGGTGGATTCATCGTTCAATTCAGCAGGCACACGTATCCATCAGTTTCAGTATTCAAACTAAGCAAGAACTGTGAGAGTGGGGATATTAGCCGTTATTTATATCCATCATATCAGCCAGATTTGATAACAGCAAAATAAGCAAGACTACTGTCAGACATGACCAACGCAGAGGACTTTTGTACAATTTATACACTGGCTGCCCAAAACGGGAAAAAAAAAAAAGAAAAGAAAAAAAGAAAAGAAAAAGAGGCATCAAGTGCCTTGGGAGTTGACGAAAAACGAGTGTTTGACTAATGTCATCTGCACAGATAATATTTTATAGTTCACAAACTACTTCATTTCATCAAGGAAAAAGGAAAACCCGCATCAGGACAATCAATAGCGCCGACCACCGGCCGTTGACAAGAGAACACGACTTGGTTTCTTCCCCTTCTTTCCCAAATCATTCATCTTCCGTGCCCCCAAGCTTTCAACAGATTCAGCTCTAGATATTATGTTGGCGAATGAAGGTGTGCCTGCATTATTTCTTGGGCCTGCATTCGAAAGAGGTTCACTCAGACCACAGAAACAAGCACCAGATTCAATATCTATTTAAGAGCAACAGTATAAGAATGGCAATATAAATAGCCAACAAAAGTTTTGACAACATGACATTCTATACAGAAGACACTCATGATTAAGCCCATTACATCGTTACAAGCAACCTAGCTAAGAGCCAAATGTTGTTCCCTGTAGAAGCGAGTCTCAACAACACTCACCAGTTACACCAGAAGAATCCCTTATCATTTGGTTGTCATCCTGAGAGTTGTTCTCCTCAATTTTCAAAGCTGGAGAGTCATGTCCAGCAGCAAAACCAAGCCGTGTTACACTTGAAAAGAGTTTTCGTTCGCCAACAATCGGAGGGCTCGATGATGTCGGGGTTGAAGTTCCCAGGGCTGAAACACAGTTATTAACACGAGGATATAAGCTGGTGTGTGATTAACTACATGTGGAAACAGAAAATTATGTAAATTCAATTTGAAAGGAAAAGAATTAATGACATATTAGCAATGAGAATTAAACATGTTGGATCTCACAAATGATGCCCCGTTTTTAGCATCTTTTCAAACATTCATTGCACACTGGACAATCAGTATCAGATTTCCTGGTCCTTGCAGGTACACAAAAAGCGAGACCAGTAAAATTACCTTCAAAGTCATCCATTGAGAAAATAGGAGATTCGTCCTGAAATGAGTGCTCAAAACGGGAGACTATAGGCATTGGACCCTCCATAGAAGCTTCAGCCTTGATTTTCTCTTTCCGCTCCTAGAAATAAGAACAGGATATAAATACAAAAGCATGCGCAAACACATGTTACATTCAAACAGTACCCAAAGAACAACAAAACCAGAAACACAGAACTTCAACATTTCTTCAAGCCCAGGAATGCTGTAAAGCTTAAAAGTACATGATCAATAAAGTGAAGTATATTCTCAGGTCCTTCACGCATTGAACCCCCTAAGGGTTTTCAGAAGTACATAAATGTCCCTTTTTCATAAATTACAGTCACATTACTCCTCCCCTGTCTGACTTCCCAAGTTAAACAAACTTGCTAAGCTTTGTAAAGGGGTAAAATGCTTCCACTGTTAAATAAACAAAGAGGTAATATAATAGCCTAAACTAGAAAAAAATTAGTAAAGCACAGCATCACTAATGATACCTTCCGAGCAACTTGCTTCCTTTGCTTCTCACGTTTCTTTATTTCATCCATAAATGGTTGCAGGGCATCAGCAGGCAACGAGTCGCTCAAATCAATTTCACAGAACTGAAAGACAAACCACACTTGACCATTAGAAACTTCGAGCAAACCCCAATCGTATCATATATCATGGTTTGTGTGTGTCTGTGTCTCTCTCTGTGTCTGTGTGTCTGTGTCAGGGAAAAAAAAAGTACCTGAAACGTTGTAGTTAAAGAAAAATGGCTCAAAAAGCGAAAACGCCTCCTTGCAGCTTCTGATTGAGTCACTGTCTCTAACTGCAGAATCTTTCCACTGATTCTGGAATGAAAACAATTCTAATTAGAAAATAAACATAAAAATACAAATAAACGAATTCTCTAAACATTAAATGAGTAAGACTTGGTATTTGGAAATCTTATATTTAGAAACCATTTCCCAAATGTCTCCATCCAATTAAGTTATAAATTGTTCTTTTATTAAATATGAGATGTTATAGACAAGCAAGAAAAGTAGTATTGCCCTAGTACCTGTCAGGTAGCAAATCATGGATCCCAAAATGATGCAGAAGACACTTCATGTTCAAAGCATGAAGAATGATATGCTGACCATCAGTAGCCTGACATGGACAGAAACAGAACATGAGAAACAGTAGCACACTCAAGATGCACGTTCTGTATCAGCTAAACAAGAACAGATATCAGCTACCAATCAACAACACAACAACTCTGCTGCATTACTAACCAATCTCAACATCCTATACTAGATTTGAAATTGAAGACCATAAACATGATAAAAGATGTGTACGTGTGTGTGTGTGTGTGTGAGTGTGTGTGTGAGCGTGTGCGCACGCGTGTGTGTATACAGGTATTGCCAGTCAATCACCTGGTAAAAACTATATGCGTCCTTCTCCTTCACATCTCTAGAGCCCTTTAATTTCCCCAGAACACCCTTGCTTTCATCATATGAAGAAGATAAAACATTCTCTTGGCCCTCCGAAGATACAACATCTACAGATTGATCAGAGCAAGCCCCCGCAGCTACGTTATCACTCCCCAAGTTGCCCAAACATTTATTTTCATCATCGAGTACACGAGACAAAGTTTGAACCCTGGAATTCGATACCTCACGTTCACGGTTATTATTAGTAGTCTTTGGTTGTATAACGTAAGAACCAGTATTGCAATCAAGATATTTAGAAGAATTAACACTATCACAAGCCTGGTGCTCATTCCAATACTTCTTTCTTTGTTCTAAGTGCTCCATTGCAGCACATACATACGGAAGCTTCTCTAGGTCATCAACAAGCCCAGCATCAGCCTTTACTAACCAACTATCTAGATCAGCTATCGCTTTTCTCACTGAGAGATCCACATCGGACGTAAATGTAAACTTTGCAAATGGGTCATAGCTTTCTGCAGGACAGTCCGCCTCTAAGCTGATACCTTTCTCCCGTCTGTTTTTCTGAGACAGCGTATATGAATCCTTTTGTCGAGTTAAAAGAGAAAATTCCAATGTATCACCAACATTGTACTGCTTAACATTCTCAATGGAGATGGTATACAAATCCTTAGGTGATATCATCACAAAGCATAGAGGGCATCTTTTCCAGCAGTCACCTTTTTCATCCTCCTTCCCCATTAACAAGTATCGTAGGATGCAAGGGAAACAAAATATATGCCCACACGATGTTATTTGAGGACAGAGAGGAGCCTCTAGACAAATTGGACATTGTACTTCAGATGGGGTAGAGTATCTCACGCATATAATGTCCTCCCACCGTAACATTTTGTCCGGATCCATTGATTCAGGCGTATAGTTTCCCGTATCTAACACCACAAATTTGTAGTTTGCCTGAAGAAATAGATCCTTGTTGTAAGGCTTTAACTTCTGTTGTCTTCTTGGAGGAGGGGCCCTTGGCTGAGGACGAGAAATGGGGTCATAATGGAAATTTAACAAGTGGTTGCCACTCATCAACTGGGACCTTCTTCCCCCAGAGGGCGTGGAGCTTCCATGAGAATTTGCAGATCCGCTACTTTGTTGGTTTCGATGGGAAACTCTGCTTCCAGGGGATTTCCCTCTAGCGTGGGTCGATCCACCCCCTCGTCCACCAGAGGAGCTCTGACAATATGTGTTGGTATTATGGTCAGGTGATGTCTTACCAGTACTTGGTGTCCCCAACTCAGTCACCTAACAAGATGATACAAATCAATGATTTTATAAGAACATACGTAAACTACCCTAAAATTTAAATACATATATCTATGGATATATACATTTAATATAATTAAAAAGAAAACGAGTTTTGTACAATAACATGCATTGTTATATAAGAAGAAGAAGGATTCAAACACTACATAGGATACATACCTCTTGGGAAATCCCCCCAGAATTTCCTGAACGTGAAACCAACGTGCCTGCCACATAGAGTGAACATAGCATGGGTTAAGTATTTCTAGCAGGTTCAGTCTAGTGGTAAAGCTACATCTACCTCTACCATCAAGTTTTAGAGTCTAAATCCCCCAATCCAAGTTCCCAAGAAAAAGGGGTTATTTTGCCCTAACGAACAAATTCTGCAAATTCTTGCAATGGCAATAGACTTCAATTCGCATTGCAAATTTGTGTGTGTGTGTGTGTTGGGGGGGAGAGATAATTAGCTATGAAAGAGCCCTGCGCAAGAGCATTATATGCTCAAGTCGCCTTCTATAAGTAGAGTAAACTAAGTTGCCTCGCATGGCCGTCAAATAACAGGAAAAAAAAAAACAAAGGCCGTTCATTCGCCGATTCGAGTTTTGAAAGCTCGCATTGCAAATTTGTGTGTGTAACTAAGTTGCCTTGCATGGTCGTCAAATAACAGGAAAAAAAAAAACAAAGGCCGTTCATTCGCCGATTCGAGTTTTGAAAGCTCGCATTGCAAATTTGTGTGTGTAACTAAGTTGCCTTGCATGGTCGTCAAATAACAGGAAAAAAAAAAAAAAAACCAAAAAAACAAAGGCCATTCATTTCGCCGATTCGAGTTTTGCTACAGTAGGGGGTGGAAATGCCAAGTCTATAATTAGCTATGAAAGAGCCCTGCGCAAGAGCATTATATGCTCAAGTCCCCTTCTTTAAGTAAAGTAAACTAAGTTGCCTTGCATGGCCGTCAAATAACAGGAAAAAAAAAAAACAAAGGCCGTTCATTCGCCGATTCGAGTTTTGAAAGCTCGCATTGCAAATTTGTGTGGGGGAAGGAAAAAAAAAAACCAAAGGCCGATTCGAGTTTTGCTACAGTAAAAAAACTCGCATTGCAAATTTGTGTGTGTGTGTGTGTGTGTGTGTGGGGGGGGGGGGGGGGGGGGGGGGGGGGGGGATTGCCAAGTCTATAATTAGCTATGAAAGAGCCCTACGCAAGAGCATTATATGCTCAAGTCGCCTTCTATAAGTAGAGTAAACTAAGTTGCCTCGCATGGCCGTCAAATAACAGGAAAAAAAAAAAACAAAACAAAAAAAAAACAAAAAGAAGATTTCAAATCCTCCCACAATTTAGGGTTCATTCATGCATGAAGAAAAATTAATTTGGAGCAAAAAATAAAAAAATAAGAACCTGAATTGGTGGAGGACGGGGACATGGCGGTGGGAGATCGGGGACACGGGGTTTGGAAATCGTGAGATTGGGAAAGAGAAGGGAAGAAGCTTTGTCCATGGTGGGAATTAGGGTTTAGGGAATGAGCAAATGAAGAAGATGACGAATCGGATCCTTGGGCTTCAGGAGGCAAGATGGACATGAAATTGTTGAAGAGCACCAGAGAGAGAGATGATGGAGAAAAGCTTCGCGCTTTGGTCACCGTACGCTTCTTCTTCTTCTTCTTCCATTCCCACCTTCCTTTTTCTCTTTTATATTTATTGCTATCCCTGTCCCACGCACGTGCCAACTATTTTCTTTTTTTCATTAGAGTCTTGTTTATTCTCGTGCTAAACATTAACAAAATAAAATAAAATAAAATAAAAATAAAGATAAAAATCTTTTTTATTCTCATTAATTTAAATTTGTGCTATGATAATGCTAACTTAAAATAAATGTTCAAATTTCCAATTTTTTATCCTGTTTTCAAAATGAGTGTAATGCGTTAATTGTTCCTATTTTCTTTTAAAGATGAATGGTTAGTTTTAAGTTTTAAAATTTAATCAATTAGCATTCCGCCACGGCCACATGAATTATATGATGCGAGTGGAAACTAGAAAGTCCCTCGGGGCTTCAGGAATGTACGGCATCTTCACCGAATATTGCTTCCACTTCTCTTTTATTTACCAACTTAACCCTTCTTCTCTTTCTTTATTTGCCAAATGACCCCGTTTTCTAATAGTATATCATGAAAAGCTTTTAAACCTATTTAGTTTGATGATTTGAGTTTTTAATTAGAGTTGAAATGTGACTTTATGTGAAAATTTTTTACTGTAACAAAAAAATTAAATATGACTATTTTTTAAAACTTTTTATTAAAACAAAACTCGAATCGATGAAATAAACAAGGTTTTTATTTACTTTCAAAAGCTAAAACTCTAAAAGTATTTTTAAGGAGATTTACCAAACACTAAAGGCCTGTTCGGTTCGTTAATTCGAGTTGAGATGTGATGTTGTGTGAGAATTTTTGACTGTAATAAAAAAAAATTAAATGCGATTGTTTCTGAAAACTTTTTACTGTAACAAAACTTAAATTCTAAACTCAAATCAGCGAAAAGAACGGAGCCTAAAATCTTACAAACAGAAACTGATTTTAAAAGTGAAAAATAATACCAAACGCAGCTTTTACGAATGAAAGTATTCAACCACTGCTGACTGAGGTTGGTAAAAGTTGCAAAAAAAAAAAAAAAACCATTGTACGGACTCCAATATGCTTTTAAGCAGCTCGTTGCTCATTTCTTCATAGTTGGGCAAACTTATATCCAAATTAAGGTAAAAACAAACAATTTTCATCCCCTCCATATTAGAATTTAGAACATAAAACGAGCCACTTTTATTTCTGGTCTGTGAAAGCCACCCATGGACGTGTTTTCAGCGCAGTTACTATACAAAAAGTTAGAAAGTAGCTCAAGAGGAACTGAACTGTCTTGCAACATGAAACAGGCAAGAACCCCTCAAATAACATACCATCAGCATTAAGCATCAAATGCTTGATAATGGGTTTGAAACAAATTGGATAATGAATGTGCGAATCTCCATCGGCACGAGTTCCACAATGAGTGCTGCAGGATCAACTGGCCTGCCCCTTTTAACCTCGGCGTCATTCTGTGATGAAGGGCCTTCGACTTTCCACACCAGTCTCTTTTTCTCCATTTCTATTCTTTCTTGGTTGGCAGTTAAACTCGTCTCTGTCACTTTGCTTATCTGAAAGCAAAACAGTGAAGCATCATTAGAAACGAATAAAATTGATTGTATTAACATGTGTCAAGAAGTTGATTTCTTCTAATACCTTCTTCCTTGGAAACAGCTTCTTCAGCTCCACATTTGTCAATACAGATAGATCCTTGTCCTCTCCAATCTTCGTGCAATGTTAACAATCCCAACAAACAAATACGCAAGCATGGAATAAAAAAGGCGGAACATCAGAATTCCAGAACAACACACAAGATTATTAAAGAAAAAAAAAAAAACCTATCACAAGCCCTTTTGTTTGTGTGCGTCTTCTTCTTTTCTTTCCTTTCTATTTCCCTTGCATGTTTCTTTTTCATTTTTCATTTTTATTTTTTTTAAGAAACAAGAAAAGTATTCACCGTTCTCCTGAAGAGAAAAGAATAAGATGCGGGGTAGAACTATCTAGATATAAAATCAATGAGAACTAACTTTCAGAGATTGAAAATTCAAGCTGCTAGGTTTTTTTTCCCCCCCTAGATTAAAAAAGGGATCATTGATGCCAACGTGGCCCCTGTCCCCTTCATCATTTAGAACTCCAGGCCCCACCAATGGAACGGAAAGGATCTAAGCCAGTTCTACTTGAAGGATGGTTTCATGAACTAAGACATTTGAAGCATGCAGAAAATGATTGAATAGGGTAATATGTGCAAGGATTTAAAACCTCGTATAGATGTGCTAACCGCAGGAGAACTTTCCCGCCATCAAGTTCCTGCATAATTCAGAAGAAGAGAGATTAAATATAGAGCATATCAAGGAAATCATAACTAGTTTGTGTTTCCTACTACAACTTTTGGTTCGGCACTTAATCTAACGTGATGATTAGCCCAATCTTAACAAGATAAATTCGTAATTAAGATAAGACGTGCCACCAAAAGAAGCCTAGTACCTGAAGTGTAATAATAGCAACATTTTCAGGTAAACTGTAAGAGGAATCGATCCAAGAAAAAGTAGGTCTATGAGAATTTATCCAGTTATCTCCTTCCTGAAAAGAAAGGAACAACGTTGTGATGATCAATACAAAAGACTGAAAACATGTACTAAAAAAAACCCTTTTTGAATATCATCACCTGTTCAGAGAAGGCAAACAGAAGTGGAGAATATATCTCCTGGCCAAAAGAACGTCGCCACTTGGCACCTTCTCCCCGGGGGTCGATTCTGTAATAAAGTTTTCCTTGGATCTGAACAAGAGTTGATAGAAAGTATTTATAAAGCCGGATCCTTAATGTTGTAGAAAATATACGCAAAGGAAATATTAAGTTTTAAAATCTTGAATTGTTAATGGAAAAACAAACACCGAGATCCGTAATAGAAGCTACTAATTGTGACAAATATGAGCCTGTTAGCCAAAACTACAATTACTTGACAATCAATATTTACAAAGACAACATAGTCAAAATGATAGTTGTCATCATTTATGATTGCATTATATCTTAGCACAACTAGCTAAGACCCTTTCTTTAGAGAGAAGATTCATCTACCACATCAGCCTAAGAACTAGGAACCTGTTTTCTGAAGAAAAGAAGAAGCTGATTAAAGAGCGTGCGTTATGAGTCATACAGTAAATAGAATAAACTTACAATTAGTCCCTTGCAGTCATTGGGAATACAAACTGTTTCATTTAGAGCCTCTGCAACACCTCTCGAGTCATCTAAAAGTAGTCTCCTGTATTGTAAGAGAAGCCACAGAAATTGTAATAGTGATATTGATTTATGCAAGTCAGTGTATAGGAGAGAGAATCATCAAATTGCTGCCGTAGTTGATAGTTGCAACCAACATTACTTTCTTCCATTAATTTAAGAAGAGAGTAGAGAAATGGATACTAAGGATCTTTTTGAGAAAGCAACATATTTAGCTTCCTTGTGGGCTTGGACTCATAAAGCTTTCAAAAACTTCTCCCTTTCTGTAATTCTCGAGGACTTATCAAAGTTTCCGTTATGCTGTTTCCGGTAGCAAAAATGGATGTTTCTTATACTATTAAAAAAAAAAATCAGAGAGAGGGAGAGAGCCAGAGAGGGCAACACACCTGTGGAGCATCAACTCTATTTGGCCATCCACTATACTGGATCCCCCTACAGGCCGATCTACCAAAACCGAAAATTCTTTTTTGTCGTCTTGAATGTAAATCCCAAGATTAAGCTGAAAGGATAATACGGGAGAATAAGCAAAAATGCATATCGTTCTAAAACGAACAACACAAATTCATAGAGGAGCATATGAATCATTCAGGGCATGAGGAAAGGCACAAATAATTGATACAGAAACTAGCTGACCATAATTTTTCTGCCAGCAGTGTCATTTTGCATACATAAGGAAGTCATCAATCATAGTCTAATTAAGTCCTCATGAATATTTTGACAGCTTAAAATTATAAGGAAAAAAGAAAAAAAACAGAAAAACAATGGTAATATAATCCAAGTTGAAATACAAAACACACCGGATAATAATTTCCAGCAACAGGTTGGTTCACTTTGAGGTCCCAATCTGCTCTGTAGTCACGAATCTGCAAAATGTGAGTTCAAGGATCACTGTATGTTCACAATAATCAGAAATGGGCATCAACTAGTACAAATGATTATGTATCCAAAGCAGTTGAGTCCACTGAGAGAAAGACGAATGTGTGAATCAGCAAATTACTCAGAGATTCACATGAACTTTACTTAATAATTGTTGCAAGGGTAAGCTAATGTACCCGTTTGATAAAATCACGCCCGTTAGAATCAGTGTAGAATGTCTTGTTGCTATCGACATTAGTCATTACTTGAGTTACAACGTCTTTGCCTGTTCCATCATTAATAGGTATGGGTCCCACCTGAAGATGAAGAAATTGTTAATGCATTGAGGAACTAACAATGAAAGTTTAGTGTCAAAAATAAAGTTAGTTACTGATGCACCAAGAGGGGTGCCTTCTCCTCTAGGACACTAAGGTTCCCTCTAAAATGGCCTTAGTTTAAGAAAAAGCTTGGAATAAAAAATAAAAATAACCCTATAGAATAAGATAATCTGGCGAGCTTACAATGTATTCAACTTCAACATGTTCTTTCCCTTTGTGAAGCCTGGTGACCTGCATACATGTTTGGTGCAACATTATTACCATCAAAAGGAATCCGGAATCTCTACAAAGCGGAGTAAGTATAGAACATAAGCTGTAGCAATTTATACTCTGAAAATAAAAGGTCAAATTTCTGATATCCTCCCTACAAAAGTTACAAGGCACCTGATATATCCACGGGTTGATCCGTTGATGTACTTCATCTGTTATTGGTCCGCGCATAATGGTGGAAGAGACCTGAAATATACATGACAAATAACCTCTTATAGGGAAACTTCGGAAAAAGTTTGGTTGAAATAATCCTGTGACAAAGACTCTTGCATACCTCTTCTTCAGGCTTTATGAGAAATGTACCATTTGGACGAAAGATATAAGCCCCAGCATTCTAAGAATAAGACCAAGTAAGTAAAGTAATGTCTTAGAAATAATAAATTTAATATTATATCAGCTTATTATGCATCAAGTTATAAATAAATCTGAAGATATATAATTGATACATCTATTTAATAATCTACCTGGGGAGCTTTATCATTTGTCCCATTGTATCCAGTGTAGAATACATATGATTGTTTCACTGTCTCCTCAACCTTCAAAATAAATGAATTAGAAACAACTTTTTTTTCCCCATGTTCCACTCATAGGCTCATAGCCAAGGAGACGATGGATAAGGAAATGTAAACATCACATACCGAACTTTGGCTATTGATGTAATTAGTAAGTTTTCCGTGATCCCTTGAGAAAGTAAGCTTCAAGTTTCCATGGCCAACTTCAACAGTAGATGACTCAATAATTTGAAATGTGTGTACAGAAGATTTAGTTGAACCAGAGCCTACAGCCAAAGAAGAAATTTCACCTCTATGTTGCTGACTTGGAGAATTAAAAATTTCACATCATATTTCTTCAAGAAAAGAAGAAGACCTGGCCTCTTGGCATTTGAGATAACATAGCTGCTGAAACCAAGTGGTGGAACAGACACCAGAAACGCGAGCCAGTATTTGGGTGTCTGAACAGGAGTTTGACCTGAATATGCCTTAACATAGTAGTTCCTTAAGCTCACATAGGTATCAACCAGCGGAAGAAGTTGTGATTCGATTTCTTTTCCTTCAGAATTGTGAACTATGACATCTTCACTAATCACCTGAGGAAATTAAAATCTTATAAATAGAGATTTGAACTGTAAATCCACAAACTATTGAACTAGAATTTCAGTGTGAAAAAATTATGCGGCCTTTACATTTCGTCTTTTGGAGAAATGGGCTTAGTCAAACTTTCAAATGAGAAGGCTGAAACTTATCCACTGTGAATTAGTACGTACATTATTTTTTCCTATGTAGACATGGAGACGCAGGAATAGACATGGCTTAGATCTTCAACCAATAATCAATGCGCAAAATCCGAATTACTTCTCTAATACATATTGTATGACCAATGACATTCACATCTTTGATCTCAAAAGAAATCCAGAAGCATGAGGTGCAAAAACTAAAAACATAATTGAACTACTTACAGGAATTTGAATTACTTCTTCTCTCTTCCATCCCAGAGAATTGTAGATCACAACAATCTAGAGATGAAAAAATACCATCAATTGGATATTTCAAAGTGGAACATAAAAGCTCCAATCAGTACAAGGAGGGTAAGAGAATATTCGTCACTACCAAAATTTTCCCTTGTGAAAGCTGAACTTCTGATGCAGGACAGTAGCTTACATTCAAAAGTGGGCACTGAAAAGGAGGAAAAAAACAAACCAACAATAAAATAAAGAGTAATAAGATATGCATTAAAACCCCAGATATTGGAGCATTAAAATAGAAGAGCTGAAAACTTTTAGGGATCATAATATGTTGCCTGTTGAAACTTTGTAGCTGGGTTTCTGCATTCAAGTTCAGGTTCAACAAAGCAAGCAAGCGAAGACGACACTAATTGCTCAGACTGCACAAAAAAATAAATAAGGGGAGTGACACAGATCAAAGATGAAGAAACAGAAGTTTGGCGGTCAAGACAATTCACACCTCCTTGTAGCCTATTGACAGTCGCTTGGCATAATCATTAGCCACATGTTGCTTCTCCGTACCGGTAACTGCATCATGATGTTGCACAATTGCTAAGGCATCTCCCAATGAGTCTGTATTGGTTGATTTACTCCTCCCCTTGAAAAACTCAAGTTGCCTAGCAGCCTGATGATGAATTGGCAATATAAAAACAGTACCTCATAAAAACCATCTCTGAGAAGTACAAAGAAAGTGGTGCTAGACTAAAGCATTCACGAAAATCATACCATATAATAGCCACTCAGTACTCTAATATAGCGTTTCAGGGCCGGTCTGCTGGTGAAGTATCCGGTCCAGTAAGCGTTTTCCCGATCTGCATAACTGCAATGAGGCATGCTATAATTTGCAAGAAAGGTTAACGTGGAAAATAAACAATCACATAATTGTTGAACATCGGACTCACGGAAAGAAGTCATCGGTCTTGATTGGCCAGGATTGATTAGTGGCATATTTTGCATCTGTGTATATGGATGGAGTAGAGTACAGAGCATTAACACGCCCATCCTAGAAACATCCCACTCAAACAATTTAGATTTTGGAAATTCGAAGAGCGTAAATACCATGGATCTCAATACAGCCTCTGTCGACAAGAAACTTTTAACCTATGCCACCGGATACAGGAAAACAGAGGTGGAATGGGAAGAATACTGGGGAAAAGTGAACACTCAAAGAGAAACTAAAGATTTTATTTTTCATTCTCTTACATCAGGATCAAGGTGTAATTTACTCTAACTAAAATAGTTTTCTCCTTATTCTCATAAGCATAAAATGGAATTAACAAATTCAAAATACCCTTGACCTCGTGATATTCTTTATATAAACGTAGGTAATGAGAAGAATGAATTGTATTATTCAACCTTTACAGAGTATACACTTAAATAGGATTACAATAAGGAACGGAAAAAGAAACTAACTAAATTAGCCTATACTGATTTCTTTCCTGATTTCAAGTAGTTGACTAATTCTAATCTTTCCATATTTACATGCTAATTTAATCCCTAACAGCTGGTGCCTTTAATCACCGAATATTTCAACACTCCCCCTCAAGCTAGCTTGTATATGTCTTCCATAGCTAGCTTGCTTATCAACCTGTCAAACTCCTTTTTGTGCAGTCCTTTAGTGAGTATATCAGCAGCTTGTTCAGTAGTCGGAACATAGGGTATGCAAATTAGGCCGTTTTCTATTTTCTCTTTGATAAAATGTTTGTCCACCTCAATATGCTTGGTTCTGTCGTGGAGTACTGGGTTATGAGCAATTGAGATAGCAGCTTTATTGTCGCAATAGACCCTTAAAGGTAAACTAGGATAAATCTTCAAGTCCTCAAGGAGTCTCTTTATCCAAATTACTTCACAAATTCCATGAGCCAGTGACCTGAATTCTGCTTCTGTGCCACTTCTTGCAACTACACACTGTTTTTTGCTTCGCCAAGTAACAAGGTTTTCCCCAACAAACGTACAATAGCCTGAAGTTGATCGTCTATCAGTCGTGCTTCCTGCCCAATCTGCATCAGTATAAACTTCAATATGTGAATGTCCACGGTTTTTAAACAGCAAACCTTTTCCTGGAGTCCCCTTTAGGTATCTTAAAATTCTATAGACAGAGTTGAAGTGTTCCTGCCCTGGTGAGTGCATGAATTGGCTCACCATACTTACTGCAAATGCAATGTCTGGACGTGTGTGTGATAAGTAGATGAGTTTTCTCACCAGTCGCTGGTATTTTTCTCTGTCGATTACTTCCTCGGGTTTAGCAGCTTCAAGTCTTAAGTTGGCCTCGATTGGAGTTTCAACAGTCTTGCAGCCAAGAAGTCATGTTTCTCCGAGTAGGTCACGGATATATTTCCGTTGGTTTACAAATATACCCTCTTTAGATCGGGCAAACTCCATTCCGAGAAAATACTTCAGTGCACCAAGATCTTTGATTTCGAAGTTATCAGCAAGTCTCTTCTTCAACCCTGCTAGTTCTTCTATATCATCTCCTGTCATGATTATATCATCCACATAAACAATTAAAATAGATAGTTTGCCCTTTTCAGTATGTTTATAAAACATGGTGTGATCTGCTTGACTTTGACAGTATCCATAGTCTTTCACAATTCTCTCAAAACATTCAAACCACGCTCTAGGAGACTGTTTAAGACCATACATGGATTTCTTAAGTCTGCAAACTTTTCCTTGGCCAAACTTATCTTCAAAACCAGGTGGTAAGCTCATAAATACTTCTTCTTCCAAATCGCCATTTAGGAAGGGCATTTTTTACATCCAATTGATATAAGGGCCAATTGGAGTTGACTGCCAATGACAACAGTACACGGATTGAATTCATTGTTGCTACAGGAGCAAATGGTTCCTGGTAGTCAATCCCATAAGTTTGTGTGAATCCCTTTGCTACAAGCCTCGCTTTATATCTCTCCAAACTTTCATCGGCTTTACATTTTATGGTGAATACCCACTTGCAACCAACAGTTTTAAGACCATACAGGGATTTCTTACGTCTGCAAACTTTTCCTTGGCCAAACTTATCTTCAACACCAGGTGGTAAGCTCATAAATACTTCTTCTTCCAAATCGCCATTTAGGAAGGGCATTTTTTACATCCAATTGATATAAGGGCCAATTGGAGTTGACTGCCAATGACAACAGTACACGGATTGAATTCATTTTTGCTACAGGAGCAAATGTTTCCTGGTAGTCAATCCCATAAGTCTGTTTGAATCCCTTTGCTACAAGCCTCGCTTTATATCTCTCCAAACTTCCATCGGCTTTACATTTTATGGTGAATACCCACTTGCAACCAACAGTTTTCTTTTCTTTGGGCAGGTCCACTACTTCCCATGTTCCACTTTTTCTAAGAGCATTCATCTCTTCCATCACTGCCAATTTCCAATCTGGATCATTAAGTGCTTCCTGAATATTTCTTGGAACACTCAAGTGTGAGATTTTTGAAATGAAAGCCCTATAATTATAGGAAACTTTGTGATATGAGAGATATTTTGCAATAGGATGAATGGTGCAAGAACGGGTTCCTTTTCCTATGAGCTATAGGGGTATCAAGATCCCGAGGCTGTATATCAATTTCATTAGACTCGGGAATAGATGATAAAGGAGGAATGGTTGGCAAGGTTTGAATTTGTGTACCTGATCCTTTTAGGAATTCATCACTCGGGGTTTTTGATTGATCGTGTGCTATGATAATAGATGGATCTCTTCCTCTTTGATGATTTCTTTTCCCGGAATAAACCAGAAGCTCTGAGTTAGATTCTCTTGGAACCGTAGGTAGCATTTCTCCCCCTGTCAACGAGTCAACTAAGTTTGGCACACTTAGGTTGGGAACATCACTATTATTCGGATCTTGTTTTGATATGGGTGATGAATCAGTCGTAATTGGTTTAGGTAAAGGAGTTGGAAGAATTTTCCAAAATTTTATTCATCATGTTCCTTCTCCCCCTAAAGAAAATTATTGTTAAAATAAGGTTGTTTTTCAACAAAAGTAACGTCCATGCTGACAAAAATTTTCTTTGTTTTTGGATTAAAACACTTGTACCCCTTTTTATTTGGAGCATATCCTATAAAGACACATTTTTCAACTCTAGGGTCAAGTTTTGATTGATTTGTACTTGGTAAATGCACAAAGACAGTGCAACTGAAGACCTTTAAAGGGAGGTTGGACTGGAGTCTTGTTATTGGATTGAAGTTGGGTTGTTTTTTAAAATACTCAAACGGAGTAGTATAATTTAGCACACGGGTAGGCATTCTATTAATTAGGTAACAGGCTGTTAGAATGGCCTGTCCCCATAGATATTTAGGAGTATGCATTGAAAACATGAGGGCACGTGAAACCTCAAGTAAATGTTTATTTTTTCTCTCAGCAATACCATTTTGTTGAGGTGTATCAACACAAGTGGATTGATGATGAATCCCTTTTTCTTTTAAAAAACTTCCTAGCACTTCATTGAAATATTCAGTGCCATTATCTGTGTGGAGTATGCGGATTTTTGTTTGAAATTGTGTTTCAATCATCGCATAAAATTTTTTAAAGAGATTTCCAACTTCTGATTTTTCACGCATTAAGTAGACCCAACATAAACGTGTGTGGTCATCAATGAAAGTAACAAACCATCTTTTGCCAAACATTGTTTTGATCCTCGAGGGACCCCACACATCACTATGGATTAAATAAAATGGCCGTGAGGCTTGATAAGATTTTAAAGGATAACTAGAACGGTGACTCTTTGATAAAATGCAGTTTTCACAATAAAGGGAAGAACAATCCAGTCCTTTAAACAAATCAGGAAACATTTTTCTTAGATAAGGGAAACTAGGGTGCCCTAGCCTATAGTGCCAAAGCATTATTTGATCTCTAATAGGGATAAAACTAATACTACTCAAGCCTTGAGCTTTTATATTGCTAGAAATTCCATCTTCAAAGTAGTAAAGACCATCCATCATCTTAGCACTGCCAATCATCCTCCCCGAGTTCTGCTCCTGAAATTCACAGTGAGATTCAAAGAACACAACACGGCAATTAGAATCTCTAGACAATTTACTAACAGATAGAAGATTGCAAGCAAGTTTCGGGACATGAAGTACATATTTGAGTGCTATATTTTTTGTTAAATTGATCAAACCTTTACCCGCAATGGATGAAAAAGAACCATCAGCTATCCTGATTTTTTCTAGGCCAGAACAGGGAACATAAGTATGGAACAAATGTGAAAAACTAGTCATATGATCAGAAGCTCCTGAATCAATGATCCAGGGAGCAGAACTTAGATTTAAATGACAGGATAGGGCATTCGGTTTACTACCTGAATGGGTCAGAGAAGCATTAGGAGTACCAGATGATCCAGGGTTGGATTTTAGCAACTTCAGAAGGTGATCCATCTGCTCTTTGCTAAAGGGAATAGAAAGGACAACTTCAGCTTCATGTGCAGAGGGAATTCAGTTGAATTTTCTATTGTCCTTCCAATTTGCTGGCTTCCCGTGGATCTTCCAGCAATTTTCACGAGTGTGACGAGGCTTGTTACAATAGTCACACTATACACAGGGCTTCTCTTCATTCTTTCTCGGAATAGCCCTGCTCACGTTTGCCTCCGATGCGACCAGTGCTGAGTTTTCAATGGGACTGCTTGGCGCCTTTTTTCCGAGCATAACAAGACGACGACTCTCCTCCCTACACACTTCAGCAAAGACTTCTCCAATGGAGGGCAGTGGCTTCCTACCGATAATTCTCCCTCTAACCTCATCGAACTCAACATTGAGTCCAATGAGGAATTTGAAGATCCTATTATCTTCAACAGTTTTCTTGTAATGGTTGCCATCTTCAGGGGATTTTCACTCATAATCACTAAACAGATCGAGATCCTACCAGAGCCGCTTCAGAGTATTGAAGTACTTTGTAACGCTGTCATCTCCTTGGAAAATTTACCAAGCTTCAGCGTGATCTCATAGACCTAAGATTGATTTCCCAGATCCGAATACATCTGGTTGACATTATCCCAAAGTTCCTTGGCTGTGTGATAGCACATATAGTTTGAGCTTATATCCTCCTCCATGGAATTCACAAGCCATGTCATCACCATCGAATTTTTTGCATCCCAGACAGAGTGTGTGGGATTGTCACTTGAAGGTTCCTCCTTGTCTCCAGTTAAATACCCAATCTTGCCTCTGCCACGGATATACATCCATACAGATTGTGACCAGCGCAGGAAATTATCTCTATTCAGCCAGATGGTTGTAATTTGGACAGAATGTGAATTTGAATCAGAGTTAGGGTGTGTTAAGGACTCGGACACCTTTGGTTGGGTGACAGATGATGGAGTGATTTCAGAAGTAGCATCAGACATGGTGTTTTTTTGGTGGTAGACGGCTTAGGGTTTTTCAGGAAATCAGATGAGGCTCTGATACCATATAAACGTAGGTAATGAGAAGAATGAATTGTATTATTCAACCTTTACAGAGTATACACTTAAATAGGATTACAATAAGGAACGGAAAAAGAAACTAACTAAATTAGCCTATACTGATTTCTTTTATGATTTCTAGTAGTTGACTAATTCTAATCTTTTCATATTTACATGCTAATTTAATCCCTAACAGCTGGTGCCTTTAATCACCGAATATTTCAACACTTTATGTCACAAGTAATTACTGTCAGCAAACTTGAAAAAAAAAAGAATGACGATTTCCCACTACCTCCTCTAACAGACTGCAAAATTATTGCTAGTTTGTAGTTGCTCAACAACATCAGTGCAAAAGATTTGCAAATTTTCCTTCATGTGAAACAAGTATATGATTGTTTATCAAGCAATGAACTACTAGGTATTAAAGAATAATTACCATGTTCACATAATGAATAAGCTTGTCCAACTGCCTAAACCACGTGTGAGCATACTGATACTTGAAATCCGTTCCCATGGTCCACATAATGTGGTTTGTCCGAGTTATGTTAGCCTAAGAAATGAAATGACAGATGTTACATTCTTATTTCCAAAATTGGAAAGATATAAAGACATGCTACATAAGCAAAATAATTTTACCTGTGCGACTGCAGCGGCAACAAAGTCATTAACTCGCTCTTGAACGTTGTAATCAAAAAATTCGGGGTCATCCTTCAAGGGAACGAAATAAAATAATGAGCATAAACAAGTAATGTTAAAGACAATTACAGTCAATTCAACAAGTCTCCACGGTGTGTACTTGAACTACTGGGGAAGCATCATTGACTTCGAAATAGAAACCAGATGGAGGTTCATAGTTCTCGGGGAATGCACCAGCAAAAATCTGCAAGCATGAAGAGGAAACTAACTAGGAAGCTCGGCAAACAAATTTCATTCAGTATCAATGGAAAGATACAAGGAAAAATACTCAAGTTAGGTTTGGATGCTACAGATTCAACATGCAATTGATTGAGTGGAAAAAAAAAAAGAAAAAAAGAATCATATCCAACATTATGAGCACATCATTCAGCAGTACATAAATAGAAACAACACGAGAAGTGAACCCAAGCTTTTCACCTGAGAGGATGAACCAAGACTCTTAGAACCACGCCAGATAACTTCAAGACTCTTTTCACTTTTGCGCTTAGCTCGGTCTTGGTAATCTATCCGACCATAGAAAAATGAGTCGAACCCAACCTACATCAAAAGGAGAATTGATACGTGCTACATGGAATTATACATACATAAGGAAGGCTCCTTTCATTCACAAAATCAACAATTAAAAACGCTGAACTTCATATACTGAATTGAAATCTGTCCAAAGACGAAGCCAGTAATGTGCTTACTTCAGCTCCCAGCAAGTAAGCTTGAACTGCGGAATGTCCAAAAGGGTCAATCTGCCAACCCACTCTGGGGGTTACATTGAACTCCACCTTAATGAAGAGATGCCCAAGAGTTGTCTGATCAATCATGTCAATGTAATGGGTTGGCCCCTCATCGTGCATGCACATACCCCCGTTTCTGCCACAAACAAAAACGAAAAACCATCAACACCCATTTTCTCTTTTTCTTCTTCTTGAGCGAGGTGGGAAATGCCGGCCACATTCCGAATACCTAATTCAATCAATTCCTGTTTCTTGGCATGTTTACTTATCCTGTTTCAAATATCTTGTTCATGTGTTTATATACAAAACCAAAGCTGCCAATTTAGTTTCTAAGTTGCCCCACATTTTGTCTCTTTAAATTGGAATAAATCAGAAAACTACTTATATAGCATTTTACTAAATCCTACTTCATAAGAGGGAAAAGCAAATTCTAATTCTTACTAAATTAAGTAAAAATGCCAAAAATTCACTCTTTCTTTATAATTAGTTGTTAAGGTTTTAAGCAAGTAATACATGAACTCGAGTTGGCCTGAATTAACAAGCTTCTTAACGACGAGCTGCATTGCCTCACTCTGATCCCTCCACCAACGCTGAAAAAAAGCCTGGAATTGGAATTATTTGAACAAAAACAAACACTCAATAACTCATGAAAAACACTTTAATTGAAGAAAAGGAAAATTGAAGACAGAGAGAGAGAGAGAGAGACTGGCCTGCTCAACATAAATAAATTTCCGATTCTTGTCAGCCAACAATGCTGGGATCAAAGAGTCCAACACATTTTGCACGCAAGCCCCCTTTTTTATACATATTTCCAAATCCAGCCAAACAAACAAACATGAACAAAACTTCAGATATATATATATAGAGAGAGAGAGAGAGAGAGAGATTAAAAAAGGAAAAAAACAAAAACAAAAACAAAAAAACAAAGGACTTCACCTGAATAGAATTGTTGGAGCCAACATAGTACTGATCAACGGTCTTCAACCAGCCAACATCGTCGTGGGAGTGAGCAACCAAATGCACGTTCAGTTTGTCTGCGACTATTCCCTGCGATGTGTTGTACACCATGTACTTTGATTCTCCCACGCCCACCATTATTATTATTAACACCGCCACTACCCACACTAATAACACCCTCTCTCTTCCCATTCTCGCCAGTTTCTTCTCCTTCTGATCTTTGTTTTCTCAGCTTCTTCGACTTCAAAATTGCAAATTTCAATCTTTTGTTCGCTGCCCAATTGCTCCTTTGGCCATTTGGACTGACTGAGAAGGTCAGGTCTAATACAAGATTACTTTACAAGTGTGCGTGTCGCTCCGAGAAAAAGCACAGAGTTTTAGAGAGTGGATGACTTTTTTACATTAAAAAAAACAAAAAACAAAAAACAAAAAAAGAAAAAAGGTACTCTCTTTAAGAGGGTTATTAAATGGATTGACAATGGAAATTATGGAATGGATAATAAAGTAGTCTCTCTGATAGAAGTGTCTGCATCTCACTCTTAAATAGACTTTTTTCTGAAAAGCCAAAAAAAAAAAAAAAAAAAAAAAGACATTTTCTATTTTTATTTTTTTCTGCAAAGGAGGAGTTTAGTGCTGTGCAGGTGGGCTTCGGAGGATGGACCTCATTATTAAGTATTAACCGTGAGGATTAATTCTTGCTCTATTCTTGACTTTTAAGACAGAGAATTGTGGACAAAGACAATTTTAAGACCTTCATTTCTATTCTGTCAAAAAATAAGAATAAATAAAGAAATATAGTACCATCTTATATCTCACTCTCTCCACACTTTTGTTCAATACAAGCAAGCAAAAAATTCGTATCTTCAAATATCTAATATCTTATTTTTATGTTTATCTATTATCCACTTTTTTTTTAATGAATTATCCACTTTATATAACTATATACAGAGGGGGCCCTTTCAATGAATTCTTGTAGCCCTGTGACCTAAAAGCTCCTGTCATTGTGCACAGTGTTGCTCACCAAACCATTAAGCTCATATTTTAACTGCTACTCTCTTTTTTTCCTTTTTTTTTTTAATTTATTTTTGTTTGTTGGAATGAATAGGCCTCTTAAAAGGTTTTGCAAAGTCCTACCAAATATCTCTATCTACTTTACACATCAAACCAATGTATTGTGAGTCAGCAACCAGTCACATTGCCTAATAGTTTAATTTGGTCTATTTTTGTCTCTTTAGGTATAGATTAGTGTTATACCCGCCGCGGCGCTGGTAATAATTTTGTATTATCTATAGTTGTTGTAAATGTGATAGAACTTAAAACTGAGAGCATTTTTTGCAATGAGGGGGAAGAGGAAAAAAAGTCTTATGTTATATGGAGTCTTAATAATTTTTATAATACAAAAGTAGTTTATATATACATATTTATACATGAGCAGGTTTATATAATGTTCTAATAAGTATTTATTTACATTATAACTTGGAGCCTTTTTTTCAGTCATTTTGTTGTTGTTTTTTTTTTAACCTGCAGAATGTATATTTTTGAAGGGTTAGTATTAATAGTTCATGGGATTGGAAATATTTTGATTTAGAGATAGTGATATCACCTTGTTTTTGACCGTTTTGTAGATTGTTCTGCTTCTTTTGATCGAGAATTGTGATGGAGTGTGCTTAGATATGTATTTAGAATTAGAAATATTGTTTTTGTTCATGAATAATACAAATTAGTGTACTTAGCTTACCGTGTGGTTGATTTTTTTAGTGTACAAAGAAGTGAAGTTAAATGTCAAGATAAGAAGGAAAATAGATGCAAAGCTATTGTTTTGCCACATTATTTGTCATTTGGTAAATGTGCATAAATAATGAATAATGAATTATAAATTGCATCATGGTGAATATTAGGTATAAATGGAGGAAGAAAAGGGCGGGAGGGCAAAAGGAAAAAAAAAAGAACCTGTATAGCAAAAAAGTAGCCATAAGAAATGGAAAAATAACAAATAAGGAAGAAAAAGAGAGAAATAGAATAGTGTGAGCATAGAGAAATGGATAAAAAAGTGAAGAAGTTGGTTGCTTAATTGTGATGGGAATGAGGAAAAAAGATGGAAGGCTATTATTTTCTCACATTATTTGTCATTTGCTAAATGTGCATCAGTAATAAATACTTAATTATAAATTGCATCGTTATGGGTATCAAGTATTAATTGTCTTTCCATATATACATGATTCAAAAATTTTAATGGAATAAAGTAAATACAGTGAGAAGCAACAGAAGACAAAGATAGTGAGGGCGATTTTTGGGCAATTGTGGAGGACTGAACATGTGAAAATTGCTTATCATCATTGCCACAATAGTGTGTGTGTGTGTGTGTGTGTGTGTGTTAACAAAAGAAACGTTTTTGAAACTAAAATATAGTGAGGCAAATTACATGTACGTGCATGTGAGTGAGCAGAGAATGGAACAAAAGATCAATATGTTGGAATCAACGATTTACAAAGGAAAATACATGGTAATTTATATATGTAATTTCTTATATATTGTCTAAGAATAAGAAACATATTTTAGGGATTCTATGTCAATGAGAACAACAATTTGCCACATTCAGTATCAGGCCTAATAATTAAAATTTTATGGATGTAAGTTGTTAATGATACCTCAAAGGCTGTATATATATTTCCTATCGTGCAATATCAAGGAAGCGGTGTAGATAGCAGTAAAGGATACAACAATATGAATATGAGGCAGAAGATGACGATTAGTCTGAAAATTGTAAATAGATAAGTGAAAAATGAAATAATAAATAAACAAAGTTAAAAAGGGGGTGGCGGGAAGGGAAAAGAAAAGACCAAAAAAAAAAAGTCAAAAGGATAGATGGCAAGTTAAGAAAAGAGCAAGAATAAAACATGAATGTTAGAACATTTTTGTTTGGTTATTTTACATAGTAATGATAAGTACAATAAAGTTTGAAGAAGAGAAATGTGATGATATTACTATGCATATTATGTTTTATGTTATTTGATGATCACATGTGATTGTTTTCATATTTATTTATAGTGTTTTGTACATATCCTACATAGATGATCATGGCTACGGAGATGAAAGAATATGGGACTCTATTATCTTAGTCTTTTATTTGTATCCTAAAAAGATATAAAAGATAGATGTTTACACATGCTTTAGGGATGAAAGACTGAATATGAATGAAGCAAGTATAAATAAAGGGAAAGGGAACAACAATAAACACAAAGGATTAGATAATAAAGAATGTGAGGAAATAAAGGTATATTAGTAGATAAACAAATAAAGCGCATAAAAGATTAGATAATAAAGAATGTGAGGACGTAAAGGCATATCAGTAGGTAAACAAATAAATAAATAGAATGGCTGAAGAAATGGCTGAAGAACAATAATAAAAGTTGAATATAATAATAAAGGCCATTAAGTCATAAGTGTATGTAGATACAGGAGCAAGTAAATAGACAAATGATGAAATAAGTAAATGGACCCAAAAGAAGGTCATATGACAGGGATATGATAATAGTTTTATTTAGAAATCATGGCTCAAACATTGGATGTTTTCAACAAAGTATGATGGGCAGACAACTTATATATCAATAGTAATTTTATGGCTGCTTTCTATGGGCAACTGCACAAAATTCAAGCTTAATAAGATGTCGTACCCACCATTGATTAGGATTTGCAAGTTATGGGGAATGGCGAAGCATGCTAAAATGTAATGTTGTCCACAACTACCATGCAAATGAAAAAAAAGTTGAATAAATCAGGAAATAAGTAAAAAAGTATAGTTGCATTTGTATAGAATGGGTGAAAATCTGAGGGCAGAATAGGGATAAGGGAATAAGAAATAAAAGGTTAAACAACATAACGACAATAGAATCAGGGAAACAAAAGAACATGGTGGAGAAAAATATGGAACAAAAAGGGCCAAAAATTTCAGAACAATAATATTATCAGACTTCATTTTGTATAATAGAATGAGGATGCACAAACAGGAAATAATTCCAAGTAAACCATTTATAACGAAAGAGAACAAGAATGAAATAAAAATGAAGAGCAATAAATGATATAGATAAAGAATTAATGATTGAAGTAGTCAATGGAGAAATGTGAGGGATTCAATATAAATTAATGTTATAAAGAAAATATCATAAGAGAAAGAGAGGAAATTGATTCAAAGAGTACACCAATCAAAGAGTAAAACGTAACAATCGGGAAGAATTAGAGCAAAAAAAAAAGTAACAAATTATGAATCAGTAAGGAAAGAGAAAAACAAAATCAACATAAAGAAAATGGATTCGCGGCAATGTCTGGACAAAGACTATGAAGCCTGACATGTGCAAATCAATTATAGTCATCATTGCCATTTAGAGGGGAAAATGGATAAGAAAGGAGAAAAAAAAAGGACCTGATGGTAAGGTGCATGGGATAAAGACATATGTGTAAATATGGTATTTAAAGGTAAAGGATCCATGGTGTTAAGAAACAGATAAAGTGAAAGGAAATACATAGGTCTGTTTAGGCAGAACAAAATAAGGGGAAGAAAAAGAACAGGGCCAAAAAAAAAAAAAAAAGGATGTAGGGAAATTAACGGCAGTCATTAGCAATAAAAAAAGTGTCTCACCAACATTGCACGTGAATAAGTAGTAAATAAAGAACAAAAGTATGCACGGAGAAGTACAATAGAAATAAAAAAGAGAAAAAAATAATGGATATACACAATACTATAGCGAAAGAATTTATTCAATATTAGCAAATGACATTCAAAAATTAATAGCAACGGCGTATTAATCGTACCTGAATCGGTCCAAAGACTGCTTTAATAGTGAGGTATGAACAAACCAGGCAAAGTCAGAGGCGGTCAGCAATAAGCAAATAGGAAAACATGGCACTAAATGATGGAGGATGAAATCGAAGAGTAAATGATGAAAGATTAAACAAACGTAAAGATAGGCAGTCAGAAATAGAAAAGTAAAATAGCAGAGCAATAAATGGTCATGGGTAAAAGAAAGCAGTAAATAATCAGGGATAAATAGGTGAGAGCAAGAGAAAGGTACAGGGGAAACGTAGTGAAGAATAAATCGATGCAAGACAATAGTCTTCATAAATAAGAAAGGAAAAATCAGATGTGAACAGTAACTGCCATGTAATTACACAACACTTAACATGGCAAGGTCGGTTTACAGAGCGTAAAAAATCAAAATTTGTGGACTAAATCACAGACCCAATGCCATAATAATTATTTTAAAAGAAAATGAGTGTAGAAATAGGAAGAAAACTAATAGAGAAAAAAATGGCAGAAAAAGGAACGGAGCAAAATGGCCACAAATTTTAGATAATTAGCAAATTATTTAATATTATTGCAGTGAAATGAGAGCAAATTGCGAAGATAGGAAGACAAATCAGCAACATAGGGAGGACAACTAAGCATATCAATAAATGAAACAAAAAAAATCAAAAATTACCCATTTGCAGCATAAAATCATA